GATGAGTGAAAACAGAGATGTAATTTTTTTCTTATCCAGGTACATGGACCTGCTGAAATCTCTTCATGTAATCTTTGGCAGCTCTAAATAACAAAGCACTGTATTAGGCAGCTAAAAGTTGCCATGGTGCCCAGAGCCTGGGCTTGGAGTCAGGAAGACCTGAGTTCAAAACCTACCTCAGACACTTTCTAGCTGTGTGATTCTGGGCACATTCTCTCACTTCTCTCAACCTTAGGAGTGTGGACTCATTGGTCTCAAAGGACCCTTCTGGCTCTAAATCTTGAGATCTCCGGCCCTACAGCCTAGAAGTCCCTGTGTAAGGGAATTTAATCAGGCTCAGTCACCATTGGCTCTGAGGCCTTTGTCAGGCTTGCTGGGAGTCCAGAAATAGCAGAACACTTCCCGGCTGGCTTGTAGAAGGAGGGTCATCACCACCAAAGTAGCAGGCACTGCTGAGTTGCCATGGGAATGCCCTTTTGGAAGCAAGAACTTGCGTTAGGTTTGTTATTCTCTGTGTGACCAGAGGCAAGTCCCTGCCCCTTCTGCTCCTCATTGGCTCTGAGCTGTAAGTGCCCTTCAGAGGGCGTCTAGCCCAAATCTCTCATTTTACCAAATGGCAAAGCTGAGACCCAAGTGACTTGTCCACGTTGCAAAGAGAAGATTTCAGCCTGAGTCCTCAACCTCCAGATCCAGTACATGTACCCCTGCACCACGCTGCCTCCTCAGTTTCCTCATCCGGATGAGGGAATTGGATGAGATCTGGGGCTATTAACCTTTCTTGTGTCCCAGACCTCTTTGGCAGTCTGGTAAAACCTGTGGCCCTCTTCTTGGAATAATGCTTTGAAATGCATAAAATAAAATACAGAAGAATACAGAGTAAACCAATTGTGCTTAAATGCAGTTATCAAAATATTTTTTAAAACAAGTTCAAGGACCTCAGGTTAAGAACCCCTAGATTAGATCATTTTAATTTCCTATTCAACTCAGATATTTGGTGACTGTGATCACCCTGAACTGAAAGTTACTATTGCAAAGAGAGATATTTGGAGGGTTTTCAGGGAATGCCCAGTGAGCAGCCCAGTGTCACGAGCAGCAGCAGGAAGAGGGCCTTGCCCATGTCCTTGGTTGTACAGTTTCCTTTCCCCTTGACTCTCTCACCCAAAAGTGTTTCCTAGTTTTTCGGGGACAATCCCAGTTTCAACAACAAAACAACAAAAGGGATGTAAAGCTTTGCATGAGAAAGATCATTGGTCAAGACACATTATCTCAATTTGGGCAGGGGGATTTGGTACAGTAGAAAGATGACTTGAGTGGCATTGGAATCAGGAAGACCAGGGTTTGACTCCTAAATCAGCCACTTCTTCTCTGCATGGCTCTGAGTAAACCACTTCCACTTCTGGCCTTTAACATGTTGTGGGTAGCACCGGATGACCTCCCAGGGACCCTTCTTGCCCTGGCATTCGTTGATTCTGTCACTGCATTCTTGAGTCTTCTTAGCCAATTGGTTCTCTGGTTCACCATACTATGAAGTCAAATTCATAATTATTTCCCAAGTCCTTACTCCATGTTTAACTGAACATGGGGCACTGGATGGGGGAATGGGAAGGAAGAAAATAGATCTGGTTCCTATCCCCTAATGCAGGAATTCTTCACCTTTATATATCATGAACCCATTTGTCAATCTGGAAGAGCCTATGGATTCCTGAGAATTCTGTTTTTAAATAATTGAAGGAAATGGTAAATTTCAGTTAAAAGTTAGTAAAAATAATGATGCATTTTTTCCCCCTCATCCATAGGAAGTAGCCTATGGACCCTAAATTAAGAACCCCTGCTCTAAAGACTTAGAGTCTGGATGGGGAGAAAAGACTTAAACATCCCTAGATACTTGTCTAGGTTTGATTTGTTTTCTTAATGAAGCCAAGGTCTCCTGTCCCAAGGAGAACAGCTTAAGGTCACCAAGTCACTAGGGTCAGATTTCAGAGGGATCTGAGATGACTCTCTAATAATCACAGCAGAAATAATAATAATATTTTCATATTCATTGATTATAATAAATTAATATATCATCTATTAGACATGAACATATTATATGTTGTCACATATTATGGTAAATTAGTAGATTAGGCATTTATTAGATGTTCATATATGTACATATATTCATATATAATATAGTTATATAAGAATATATTTTATTTACCTGTAGGAAGCAGTTATTTTATCTACACATGTAATAATCTGTTGTTGTTCAGTTGTTCCAGTTGTGTTTGACTCTTTGTGACCCCATTTGGGGTTCTCTTGGCAAAGATACTCGAGTAGTTTGCCATTTCCTTCTCTAGCTCATTTTACAGATGAGGAAACTGAGGCAAAGAGGGTTAAGTGACTTACCCAGGGTCACATAGTTAGTAAGTATGTGAGGCTGGATTTGAACTCAAGTATTCCTAACTCCACTCCCTATGTTTTGTCCACTGGGCCACCTAGCTATAATAATTTAGAGGTCAATAAAGATAAGAGGATAATAATAGATAATGACATGGACCAAGACCTTTTCAATTTGAAATTCATCAAAAACATGAGAAGAACTTTCATTTTAAGATAATAATGATAAAATATAATAATAGCTGACATTTATATAATGCTTTAAGGTTTGCAAAGCACTCGACATTGATTATTTCATTTGATCCTCACAACCACCCTGGGAGGTAGCGGTATTATTCCCATTTTACAGAAAAGGAAATTGAGGCTGAGAGGAGGTAAAATAACTTGCCTGAAATCACATGGCTAGTAAAGTGTCTACGACAAGATTTGAACTCTAGTCTCTCATGATACCAAAGCCAGTGTACTTTCCACTGTATCAACAGTTTTTTTAAGTGTGGTCTGAGGACCACTGGTGGTCCCCCAAGGGACCTGTGAAGTCAGAACTGTTACATAATAATATTAGGATGTTTTACTTATTTTCTAATACTGTAAATATTGACAGATAAAATCACATAAACAAAAGTTCTTGGCTGGGGCGGGGTGGGGGGTGGTCCTCAATAATTTTTAAGAATGATGTTTGTGACCTGCTATACAAGGTCTTGAGAAGACCTGACTCTTCCTTAGCCTTGCTGCCTGATCTTTCCGCAGCTCAAATGCTAACCAGTGTTGTTCCTTCTTAGCTCCCAGCTAGGGTGAGGGCCTGAGCGTTTCTTACATCTTGACTTAGGCCAGCATCTGAAAGCCTTCCCTGCTCCTGGGGGTGATGTCATTCACAGTTCAGGACCACTAACAGCTAGGCCTGAGCTCCCCCATTCTGAAGCTCAGATTCACTGACCATTAGATCTAGAAAAGACCGAGATCATCCGGGCTGAGCATTTTCCCAGACATTATCTCATCCTACCAGCCCTAGGAGGCTGATCATGCAGGGCTTAGCCCCATTTGAAAGATGAAGAAACCATCAGATTGAGGAAGTCACTTGACCGTGGTCATATAACAAGTCAGCATGCAGGGAAAAGGGCCGGGGCATCTCTGACCTCCAGGCCGGGACCACCTCCAATTCACTATATTGCCTGAAACATGTTTGAAAGTACAAGAACCTAGGAATGTAGATGCAGGGACCCCTGGCCATCTGGTCTGACCCTCTTGTTTTAGAGGTGATGAAACTGAAGCTTTGGGGGGGGGGGTTGCTTCAGGTGGTGCCCAGCAGAAAAGCTGAGATTCAGACCCAAATCCATGGACTCTAAATCTAGGGCTGTTTTCCCTGGACCACACACATTTCAGTAACAGGGTAGTTTCCAAGTACTGAGAAGAGCCTGGGATAATTGGAGTTAGATTTGATTAATCAGGGAAGATTTCCTGAACAGAATATAGGAGGGGGAGCAGGGAGCATCACTGTGCCACAAGGAATGTAAGAGTGGTTTGCAATATATCTATATAGGTACACGTTGTCTCCTCCATTAGAACGTAAGCCTCTTGGAGGTAGGAGCACATTGATTTTGTCTTTGCTTCCTCAGTTACAGGCACAATGAGACCTTGGTCAAATCATTTAACTTTTGGCTTCTATTGGGGCGGGGGGGGGGAGGGAGGGAAGGAGAGAGAGACAGAGAGACAGACAGAAAGACAGACAGAGAGAATGAGTTAAATTCAGGGGTAGGGAACCTGTAGCCTGGAAGCCACATGCTACCTTCTAGGTCCTCAAGTGCAGCCCTTTGACTGAATCCAAACATCAAAGAACAAATCCCCTTAAGAAAAGGATTTGTTCTATAAAACTTAGACTCGGTCAAAAGGCCACGCCCAATGACCTAGAAGGCCACATGTGGCCTCAAGGCACAGCTTCCTCACCCCTGAGATAGACAAATAGAGATAGAAAGATAGGGATAGATGAATAGAGATATTGATAGATAATAGAGGTAGATAGATAAATGAAATATAGAAGATGGATATATATTTAGATAGATATGGATAAATGATAAAGGTAGGATAGATAGAGATATGTAGAGAAGTAGATGGATAGAAAGAGATAGGTAGAGAGAGGTAGTGGAGAGAGAGATGGATATATATTTAGATAGATATAGATAAACAATAGTGGTAGCTAGCTAGATATATACAGAGAGGTAGATAGAGATTTTAGAGAGACAGATACAGCTAGGTGATAGATAACTATTAGAAGTAGCTGGATAGATAGAGACTTGGAGAGAAAGGACAAAGAGATAAGGAGACAGGGTAGACAGGTGGATAAAGTACTTTTTATGTACTTGCCATGTACCAGGCATTTATCTGTAAAATGGGCATAATAATACTCCCGGGAAAGTGCTTGACAGTCTTTAAAACCACAGAAATCTTTCATTTTCGTCACTATCATCCAGAAAGGCAGGTAGCCAGTGGGGCCATGGCGTGGGGCAGAAGCTTGATGTGGGAGTTGGGCACCGTGCTTGGGGAGCCTGCCGTGTCCTCAGGGTCCACGTGAGGATACTCTGCCACACTTGTTTCAGATTCCCTAGTAAATGATGGTGTTGTTTTCACAGGTGGAGCTAAACTTCCCGCTGGCAGAGAATGCACACGCCCAGAAGCCCAGGAAATACATCTCGTTGTAAGCCATCTCAGTTTTTCTTCACCGAAGCCAAGCCAAAGGGATACACTGTCCCCTGGCCTGAGCTGTGAAAAGAGTGGAGTTGGGGTTTCTGCTCAGGGGTTCTTTCTGCTCAGCCTGAGAGCCATTGGGGTCAGCATTGTACCAAGGTCTTCCTAGTAACAGTCCCCGCCCACACCAAATCAGGGCCAAGTAGTTAAGGGAATTTCTGCAGCTGTCTCCATGTTCTGAAACCATGTAAGAAACCTATAGAGACAAGGGCTACAAAAAAGATGTCCCCATCAGGGTCTCCCAAGAATGATTTTGATTGTTTTCTCCCCATTTCAACATAGGACACACCTCTTAGAGAGGAGAAAAAAATGCTCACATATGTGACAATCAACCAATCAGCACTCAGTCAATGAGCATTAATCAAAAGCCTACTTTGTGCCAGGTACTGTGCTCAGCACTAGACAGACCTGGGACAGGCAGAGAAGGTACATAAGACAGACCTGGGACGGGCCAGAAGAGCGTATGTGCATTCCAGGACACTCAATCAATCATCAATGAGTTGTAAATCATTTCTTAAGGACCTCCTATGTGCCAGGGTGATACTAAGCCCTAGAGCAGGAGTGGGGAACCTGTGGCCTTGAGGCCACATGTGACCTTCCAGGGTTGTGGGTGCAGCCTTTTGACTGAGTACAAGTTTTACAGAACAAATCCTTTTATTAGAGGATTTCTTCTGTGAAATTTGGATTCAGTTCAAAGGGCTGCACTTGAGTAGACCTAGAGAGCTACATGTAGCCTCAAGGTCAAAGGTTCCCCACCCTTGCCCTGGAGCAACCTGTAAGGGGCTGAAAGGCTGGTATGTGAGAGGACACACAACTGACAGGCAAGGCAGCATTGTGTGAATAAAAGGGCAGTCAACTGACAATTAGTTAAGAACTTCTTATGAAGCCCCTACTATGTGTCAGGCACCACGCTAGACACAGTGAGGTACAGGAAGAACATGTGTATGATTGGATACACCTTTCAGAGTCATATGTGTGAGAAGACAAGAAGGCCCTCAAATCTCACCTTTCCCTCATACGCCCAATCACTATATTCTGTCCAATCCAACAAGCATTTGTAAGGTGTTAATATACCATGTGTTATTCTAGACCAGCCACAAGACCAAGGCAAAATGTCTCTCAAAATGGCATCTCAGTCACCTGCCCATCACTTCTCTCCATCTTCAGTCACAGATCCATGCTTACTCTCTATTCAGATGTGTGGGTATATGTTTATTCCTATGAGGACAGATTTCTTGTTGTTGAGTCATTTCAGTCATATCTGACTCTTTGTGACCCCATTTGGGGTTTTCTTGGCCAAAATACTGGAGTGGTTTGCCATTTCCTTTTCCAGTTCATTTTACAGATGAGGAAACTGAGGCAAACAGGGTGAAGTGACTTGCCCAGGATCACACAGCTAGTAAGAATCCAAGGCCCGATTTGAACTCGGGTCTTCCTGACTCCAGCTCCAGTGCTCTATCCATTGTGCCACCTAGCTGCCCTAGATTAAAATGTAGTTGGAAAATACTTAACAAAATTTGAACTCATGAAAATGAGTCTTTCTGACTTCAGGCCCAGCACTCTATCCAATGGACCACCTAACTGCCCTATGAATATAAATATAGATATATAGATATATATAGATATAGATATAGATATATGTATATGTATAGATAGATAGATAGATAGATAGATAGATAGATAGATAGATAGATAGATATCTGTACACAACTAGGAGACCTTTGTTTGCAGGAATTCTTCACCCAGAGTCTGTGACCATTTTTTTAAATTGATAACTATATTTCAATCTAACTGGTTTCCTTTGCCAGCCAACGTATTTTACTTTATACGTTGAAAACAATTTTTTCTGAGAAGTGCTCCATACGCTTCACCAGACTGCCTGAGAGGGCTGGAACACAGAGAAGGTTAGGGGTCCCTGTTTCTGGGGACCATCCCTCAGGGTGTAGGTCAGCATGACTGGAGCCACTCCCTTCAGTATCTATAGAAATGAGAGCTTCTGTTTGTTGAGGGTCTGAATGAAGCCCTCAGCTCTGGCCACTGCCCTGGGTGGGAATGTCTCAGTTTAGGGGAGTGTATATTAGCAGCTTGAACCCAGTGTGAGAGCCCTCGTTAAATATAAGTGACTTCCCTTCATGAATGTTGGTACTCTGACACCCTCCATAAGATGGCTTCCTCGCCCCCCCCCCCCGCCCCGGCAGACAATGCCAGTAGCATCTCCATGGGCAGTGTGATAGAGACACTTCACCCCCTTCCTTAACTTCCCACAGCTAAGAACTTGCAGCATGGAGCCAACGAAGCCACTTCTGGAGACACAGAACACCCTGGAGAGAGGGAAAGCCCAGACTGCCCGAGACACGACGCCTGCTCCCACACGTGGGGAGAGATCTACTCCTATTTCTGGCTCTTCATCTCATAATCCAATTCACTTAAAGCCATACTCAGCAGAATAATGGCGCCTTGTCCAGCCCATCAGCCATTCTAGACATTCTTACAAACATAAGTGGACTCTTAGAACATGTTAGAGCTAAAAAGGGCTTTGGGATAGAGAGTGTCAGAGCTAGAAGAGACCAGACAGGGCAATTTGGGGGTAACCAGATCAAGACACTAACACTGGGGGGACCAGGAAAGGTAGGTCCTATAGGTAATATCCCCATTTTACGGATAAGGGGACTGAGGCTCAAAGTTTTATGTCTGGATTATGGTCCCATATCTAATGAATGTCAGAGGTGGGATTTTGGTTCTCTCCTCACTCCATGCCCTTCTCTCTTTCCGCCATATCAGGATTCCTGCTACATCAGGACCCCTCAAGGGGACCAGGATAGAAAATGCTGCACCTTAATGGGCCAAGGGTAGAACCCTCCCAAGGAAAGAGTCATGATTCAAGTTGTGATCCTCTGAGAATACCTTTTATTATACTATATGTTATAGGCCCATAGTTGTTTGTGTGCTGTCTCTCCCATTAGAGTGTAAGTTCCTTGACAACAGGCACCATCTTTTGCCACTTTTTTTGTATCTCTGGTGCCTAGCACAGTGATTAATAAATGCTGTCTCCCCTTTCTCCCCCACCTGAGGTAGTAGTAATAATAGTGCATACGTCTAGATCTAGAGGCTACCCATCACCTTCTCCACATCTCCCATCTCACCCACACACGGTATGGTTTGCCCTTTGCTTTCTTCACAACCACACTTGGAGAGTGAGAGTGTAAGAAACATCTCCATTTTACAGATGAAGAAAACGCGATTCAGTGATAAGAGCCAGAGTTTGAAGGACAATAGCCAAGATCTTGAAGTGATGCCAACAATGTCGAAATGACATCTTTATGTTCACTAGCTTTCAGTTTCCTATGCAGTTTATTTTATACATTTAACAATATTGCTCTGAGAAGGGTCTGTGGGCTTCCCCAGGGTGCTCGAGGGGATCATAGCACACACAGGAAGGTTAAGACCCCTTATCTTAAGGAGCAGGTGGAGGTGAAATGACTTTCCTGTTCATGTGACCAGTCTGTGTCTGTGTGAGACTTAAAACCAAGTATTCTTGGCTTTGAATTCAGCAGAGATCACTAACCAGTGAGCCATACTTTCTCTCCAACACTGTTATCATCATAACATTTTCCGGGTGATTTTGCATGGGCTCCTTCATTGCTAGGGATTGATGATATTCCCTGGAAGGGAAGAGACTAGAATTCTCTAGTAGATGGCAGCTAGCACAGTGGATGGCTCAGGGGATAGGATGCTGGAGCTGTTCAAATCTGGCCTCAGACACTTACGAGCTGTGTGACCCTGGGCAAGTCACTTAACCTGTTTGCCTCAGTGTTGCCTCTATAAAATGGGGTACCTCCCTCCCAGGATCAATGTGAGGATCAGATAATATTTGTAAAGTGCCTTGGATGCCTTAAAGCATGATATAAATACTATCATCATCATCATCATCATCATCATCATCTGGTCTTCAGCATTATGACAAGAACACCATGCCAGGAGACCAAAAGACAAATGTTATTGAGGACCTGGATTATAATACTGCCTCTACTTCCTCCTAGCTGTGTGACCTTGGACCAGTCCCTTCCCCTCAGTGAGTCTTAGCATCCCACTCTGTAGAATGAAGGGGTTGGACTCAGATGCTCCCTGGGTAGTCACTTCCAAATTGAAATCCTAGGCTCCTGGGGATCTGTGTGTTGCTGGCTCACATACCTGCTCCTGGGTAAAGAATCATCCAGCCCTCTCTTGAGCCTGGTGGTAACAGCTCCCATTCTTTTCATCCCCACAGAGTCCTTCAAGCATGCAGCCTTTGACTTCTCCCGGCCCAGAGGAACCAGAGGCAGGGACCAGGGCGTGACCCATGGGCGTAAGTTCAATCAATCAATCAATCAATCAATCAATCAATCAGTAAGCATTTCTCAAGTGCCAATAATAAGCCAGATACTGTGCTGAGAGCTGGACATATAAGTACAAAGAATGAAACTGGCCCTGCTCTCGAGGGGCTTATAGTCTATCAGGGGAGACAACGTAAACATGTAGAAGCACGTACATATAAAGAGAACCAATGCAAAATAAGGACCAAGTACTTCAATACGCTGGCATTGTGTTGTGGGGAGGCAGGGAGCGAGCCGTTGGGGAGGACCAGGGAAGGTTTCATGTAGAAGGTGGTTGGAATAGCCTTGGAGAAAGAGGCATGCTGTTAGGCAGAGGTGAGGAGGGAGTGCCTTCCAAGCCTGGAGGACTGTCAGGCCAATGGGAGAGGAGAAGGGAGGAATGGAGGAAGACCAGTTGGGCTGAATAATACAGTATGAGACGAGGAGTGATGGTCAGTGGGGCGAGAAAGGAATGAAAGTCTAATCCCCAGCATGCCACACTCTTGTCAGTGAATCACTCATTGCATGATGCACTGGGCTGCCAGCTGTCTCCCTTCCCCACCCCTATGCCCAGCCCTCATTAGGGTGGCCCTGAGCCCTGCCTCTTGTGCCCAGTGGGGGAAAAACCATGCCCATGGGACTTCGTCTGCCACCAACTCTGCTGACTAGAGTGGGACTCTAAACTTTGGGAAAACAGGGTTCCGAATTTGGCCAATTGGCTCACTTTGAGACTCACCCCAGCCCTGCTCCCACTGAGCTGTGTGATCTTGGTCAAGTCCCTTTACATGTCTAAGTCTCAGTTTCCCCATTTCTAGAATAAGGAGGATGGATTTTACAGTCTTTTGTGTGCCCTCCAGTCTAGATCCTCAGACCCTAAGGCTCCTTGGAGAGTTCAGGAATCTGGGGGTGGGATTAGGGGTACATGTGGAGGCAAAGACATTCTAATAATGGCAGTCTGGTTTCTGTAATGCTTTAAGATTGGCAAAGCACTTTTCCAACATTATCTCTTGCAATCCTTACAATAACCCTGTGGGGTGGGTGCTATTATACCCATTTTTCAAATATAGAAACTGAGGCTAAGAGATTAAGGGATTTAGCTAGTAAATATCTTGTGCAGAAATAAACCCTTGGGTGACTCCACCTGGACCAGTGGGTGGGAAGGAAGACAGTGTGGTGGGATTCATTTGTCCCCTACTCTCCCAGGCTTGGGCTTGGGAGCTTCCAGCAATGTGTGAGTCACTCATGTTAAAGCCAGTGAGGGCTGGGAGGGGAGGAAGGGATTTTGGCAGGAGGTGGCAGACAATTGAGGGTTTTCTATTGTATTTGTGAGGGTTATGGAGTACTACAGTTTATAAAAGCAAAGTCATAAGTTGCAGACTCTTTTAAAGATGCTACAATGACTTCTTTTTCCCTCCCCTACCCCCCTTCTCTCTCTGGTGTGTGTTTGTGTGTCTATGTGTATGTATTATGTCTATGTCCCTGAATGTATTTGTGTATGTGTTGATGTGTGTGTCTTTGTGTGTGTTGTGCATGTTGTGTGTGTATACCTGTGGCACATGTAACATGTGATGGGTGTGTGTTGTGTGTGATGTGTTATACCTATATGGTGTACATTTCCTCGATGTGATATATGTGTGGTGCATGGTTCTTTATATGTGGTATGTGTGATTTGTATGGTGGAATGTCTGCATGGGATCTGGGTGTGATGTGTGTGTCTGTGTATGTCTGTGTCTGTGGGATATACGTGTGTATGTGTGTTTGCCTGTGTATGTTGCGGATCCTATGATTCCAGAAGAGTGTGACGTTCTTGTCCAAGACCACCAGGTTCCAATACCAACCTAAAGGGAAGGGACCCAAAGGGACCAGCCCTCACCATTCAGTATTATTTTGCTCATCCTATGGGAAAGAGCTGCACTCAATGAGATGAGCTGGACTGTCCTGCATTTGCAAAGGCTTGCCAAAAACCAAGAGACAGACATGTCGTGGGCTGCCTCCTGACTCTGAGGGTGCTGCCATCACCAGAAACAAGATGGCCAGACTCAAACCCTTAACAAAGTTGACACGGAAACTCTTTGGACTTGCAGTTCTAGGCTATTGCCAGGCATTAAAGTAGCCTCACCAGTGGGTATTTTTTTTTGACTCTCATGCATTTTTTAGTCCAATAGAAGCCAGCAACACTTCAGCAAAAGATCCTTTGGAACCACCTCTGGCTTCTCACTTCTTCTCCAATGCAGGCAGAACCAGGGCATGTGGGCCATTTGTAAATGAAGCCTGGTCCACCCTTCCCCAAGTAGCATCATCCCCAGCCTCTGATAAGGCCATGGATCCTGAGCAAGGCGTCAAGAGTGCACAGACATCGGAGGGTAGTCCCAGAAAGCGGCTTCCCAAAGGAGAAGCCGTGCAAGCCAGTGGCCCCTCCACAGCTCCAGCAGCGGCTCCAGCCCTGGCTCCAGCCTCAGTTCCGGCTCCAGCTCCATTCCAGGGCAGCTCTACTTCCTCCCCAGCGACACCCCTCCATGAACTCCTTTCCCAGCAGCAGCAGCAGCACTTTTCGGGGCCCCCGCTGGTTCTGAGGGAGGGGTCTCAGGAGAAAACGGGACACCAGAAACCCCTGAAAAGATCTACCGTTGAAGGCCCAGCCCACATCCCCCAGCTCCCTCAACACCCTCTGTCACCAGCATTTATGTCTCCGGGGAAGCCCGAGCATCTCCTGGAAGGGCCCACGTGGCAGCTAGTCGAGCCAATAAGGCCAGGCCCCTCTGGGTCTTTTGTATCTCCGGGGCTCCATTCTCAGAGCCAGCTCCTCCCCGCCCACCCGACCATCATCCCTCCTGAGGAACTGCAGTCCATCCCTAAAGTCTACATCCCGCGTGCCTCCCACATCTCTATGAAGCAGGCCGAGGAACCACCGAAGAAGGAGAAGAAACCTCAGAAGCCTGGCAAATACATCTGTCAATACTGCAGCCGTCCCTGTGCCAAGCCCAGTGTGCTCCAAAAGCACATCCGCTCTCACACAGGTGAGCGGCCCTACCCCTGCGTCCCCTGCGGCTTCTCCTTCAAAACCAAAAGCAATCTGTACAAACATAGGAAGTCCCATGCACACCGGATCAAAGCAGGGCTGGCTTCAGGAATCGGGGCTGAGATGTACCCTCCGGGGTTGGAGATGGAAAGGATCGGTGGTGAGGAATTTGAGGAGCCCACCGAAGGAGAGAGCACCGACTCCGAGGAGGAAACGGGGGCCACGTCCAGCCAGCCAGCCGACCTGTCTCCCAGACAAAAGCACACCCTCCTTGGCAGCAGCAGCCTGTATGGTTCGGGCAGCCATGGGCCGGGCCACGACCGCTGTTCCTCGTCCCATTCCAGCACCTCCCAGTCACTCGAGGAGAACCCCCAGTTTGCAGAGCCCTTGTCGTCATCGTCGGAGCATTCTGTGAGCCACAAAGCGGAGGACACACACACCATCAAGCAGAAACTCGCCCTGAGGCTCAGCGAAAGGAAAAAAGTGATGGACGAGCAGGCCTTCCTGAGCCCTGGGAGCAAGGGGAGCACAGAATCAGGCTACTTCTCCCGTTCGGAGAGCGCAGAACAGCAGATCAGCCCTCCCAATACCAATGCCAAGTCCTACGCTGAGATCATCTTTGGCAAGTGCGGGCGAATCGGGCAGCGGACAACGATGCTGACGGCCACTGCCACTCAGCCGCTCCTGCCGCTGTCTGCTGAGGACAAACCCAGCCTGGGCCCCATCTCCGTGCCTCGGACGCAGGTCATCGAACACATCACGAAGCTGATCACAATTAACGAAGCAGTCGTGGACACCAGTGAGATAGACAGCGTGAAGCCCAGGAGAAGCTCTCTGTCCCGGCGGAGTAGCATTGAGTCCCCCAAGTCTGGGATCTTTCGAGACCCATTTCAGCTGGACCCATCCAAAACTCTGCTCTCCCACGGTGAGAAGGGAAAGCCAGAACAATCTCTACTCTCCCTGCAGCAGCTGCCCCCCAGCTCCGCTGAGCCCGCGCCCCTTCTGAGGAGCCACTCCATGCCTTCTGCCACCTGCACCATCAGCTCCCCGCACACGTTTAGAGGAAGCTACTCTTTTGACGACCACATCAGTGAGTCGGACACCCTGAGCCGCAGCCGAGTCTTTACGTCCCACCCCCGCACGTTGAAACGCCAGCCCGCCTTTGAGCTCCCTCTGGGAGGGGAGTATAGCTCAGAGGACATCGGGCTAGGTCCTAAGGACACGGCCTCCAAACCCGCCGAAGAAAAAGAAGCAAAGGAAAGTGAACTCACCAAAAAGTCCCGGAAAGGCTCCAAAGCAAAAGGGATAACCTTTGAGTGTAACATATGTGGGGCTCGGTACAAGAAACGGGACAATTACGAGGCCCACAAAAAGTACTATTGCTCAGAACTTCAACTCGCCAAGCCTGTTTCCACGGGTGCCCATCCGTCCTCAGAAGTCGAAAAGAGCCAAGGGGAGCCCGAGTCTTGGTCTCAGATGATGCACTATAAGTTGGGGACCAGTTTAGAACTTACACCACTAAGGAAGAGACGGAAAGAAAAGAGCCTTGGGGATGACGAAGACCCGCCCTCCTTTGAGTCGACCAAAGGTCACTCCTCTGTGGGGCCTGGGAGCCAGTTTGCCAGCCCAGTCCCCTCGGAAGCTGCTTTGAACCTCCCCCAGGAGCCCACCAAGCCACCAGCAGAGCCAGCTCCATCGGTGCCACCCCTGGAGGGTTCCGTGGCCTTCCACCCAAGGACTCCCAAACCAGCGGCAAGTTCCGAGTCTGGAAAGGAGAGAAGAAAAATCTCCACGGAAATTTCCGTCATCCAGCACACCAGCTCCTTTGAAAAACCTGACCCTCCGGAGCAGCCGAGCCACCAGGAAGGAGAAGACAAGGCTTTGTCCCAGTTCTCGTCGCAGCCAGCCGTCACTCCACATGGCCGCTCCTCCCACTCCCTGCAGCCTAGGTTAGTCCGACAGCCTAACATCCAAGTTCCTGAGATCTTGGTGACCGAGGAGCCCGACAGGCCAGACACTGAACCTGAGCCCCCGCCGAAAGAACCCGAAAAGACTGAGGAATTTCAGTGGCCTCAGCGGAGCCAGACGCTTGCTCAGCTCCCCGCGGAGAAGCTGCCCCCCAAGAAGAAAAGGCTGCGGCTGGCGGAGATGGCCCAGTCCTCGGGGGAGTCCAGTTTTGAGTCAGTCTCCCTGACCCGAAGCCCTAGCCTGGAAAGCAGTGTATCTCATACTTCAAGCCACTCGGCATCCTTTGAAAGGGAAGACCATGGGAAGACAGAGGCTCCTGGCCCTTCCTCAGAAACTCACTCCAAGTCTTTTGGCACCCACATGTTGACTGTTCCAAGCTACCCTCACCACTCCAGAGAAATGCGGAGGTCGGCCTCTGAGCAGTCCCCCAACGTGCCGCATCCTTCTCAAATATCTGAGACACGCAGCAAGTCATTTGACTATGGGAGTTTGTCTCTGGCTTCGCCTCCCACGCCAGGCATCCCCACCTCCTCGGCCCCACCAGAAAGAAGAAAATGCTTTCTAGTGAGACAGGCTTCCCTGAGTCGGCATCCAGAGCGTGAGCCAGAGACACCTCCTAAGGGGAGACTGGAAATGGAGGAGCCTCTGCCTTCATCCAGTAAATCTTCCTCCAAAAGTTTGCTACATCAGCCTTCCTCTTCCTCCACCTGCTCAGCTTCTACCACCACCTCTTCTTTCTTTTCCTCCTCCATCCATGGCAGGTACCTCAGTGCTAAGAGCCAGCAGAAGGACAGTCCCCAGCTGGTGTCCAGCCCACCTTACACCGAAGCTCTACAAGTGTTCCACCCACCCATCCCCCAGCTCTCCCTGCATGAAAAACCATACCTGCCACCTCCAGTCTCCCTTTTCTCTTTTCAACACTTCCTCCAGCCACCAGGACAGTCCTCAGAGCTGTTCTCCACTCCGCCTATGCCAGAGATCTTCTCTGCCCCATACTCCATGCCCCCGCTTCCCCCGTCCTTATTTCAGACTCCGCCAGTTCCCCTTCAGCAAGCTATCCTTCATCCAGGCCAGCTTCATATGCCTCACCAGCTCATACCTCATCCAGCTGATCTTCCCTTCTGTCAGCACCCTTCATTTCTCCCCATGCCCCATCCCAGCTCCTCCTCGCTCTCTTCAGGCTTCTTTATGCCTCTGCAATCTCAGTTTGCCCTTCATCTGCCTGGGGAGGTTGGCACCCATATGGCCCCAGTGAAATCCAGCCTGTCCCCTCTCACAGGGCCCTCTGGCCTTTCCCCCAGCACAGAATATGGCACCGATGTCCGGTTGCACCCAGTGACACGTGCCACCAGCCCTCCAGTATCGACATCAGCCCCACAACTGGCTGTTCCTTCCTGCCCAGATCCCGCAGTGTCTCTGGTTGTTCCTGTCCGAATCCAGACCAACATGCCCTCTTATGGAAGCGTGATGTATACAACCCTTTCTCAGATCTTGGTCACTCAGTCCCAGTGCAGCCCATCCTCCCTCGTGCTCCCCAGGTTTGATGACTACCAGGCCAAAGGGACATTGGTCTGCGGTGTAGAAGCTCCTGGAGTGGGTCTTGAGCTGGCCCAGATCAGCGAGGAGCAAAGAAGGGGGTTCCCAACACCATACCTGAGGGTGCCTCTTCCATCAGCAGAGAGGAAAGGTTCTTCTCTGTCCTCAGAAAGCATCTTGGGCATGGAGGGAAGCCCGTCCACTGCAGGAGGCAGCAAACGGGTGTTGTCCCCTGCGGGCAGCCTAGAACTCACCACAGAGACCCAGCAGCAGAAGAGGGTGAAGGAGGAGGAAGGCTCCAAAGCTGAAGAGAAACTGGAACTCCTCAGGCCAGCTAGCACCATCCTTGCCAGTGCTGAAGCCAGCAAAATGCAAGAGAGAGCCCAGTTTGGGGGCCCCAGCCAAGGCCGAGGGGAGGAAGAGACCCTCCCTAGCTTAACGTTGGCTCAGCCTCTTCCCAAGGAAAGCCCTCCCTCTCAGTACTCGGGGCTGCCTCGTTCAGGAGCTCTGGGCCTGGAAGCATCAAAACAGCCACCTGGAAAGCCATCCCGGCGGCAGTCACCACTGCAGGGAGTAAAGAAGGAAGATTCCAAGGACCTGCCCGACCATCCACCGAAGACTCCTCCCACCTCCTCCTCCACTTCTCCCAGGATAGCAAAATCCCGGGAAGGTACAGACACCAAGAAGGTACTGCAATTCCCCAGCCTCCATACGACCACTAATGTCAGTTGGTGCTATTTAAACTACATTAAGCCAAATCCCGTCCAGCAGGCAGACAGGAGGTCCTCTGTTTATTCTGGTTGGTGTATAAGTCTGTACAACCCCAACCTGCCTGGGGTGTCCACTAAAGCAGCTCTGTCCCTCCTGAGGTCCAAGCAGAAGGTCAGCAAAGAGACATACACCATGGCCATGGCTCCACATCCTGAGACAGGAAGGCTTGTTCCGTCCAGCTCCCGAAAGCCCCGAATGACAGAGGTAAGAACCATCATAGTTGTTTCCATCATCTCTGACTAGCCTGATAAATCTGTTAAGTGATCTCCCTATGGGGGCTTGGAACAAGAAAAGGAATAGCATAGAATATCAGAACTGTAAGGCTTTGTAGATACCACCAGGCCCACTCCCTTCATGCTATAGATGGAGATACTGAGGCCCGGAGAAGGGAAGGATCTGCCAAAGGTCGTTACATGGTTACTAAGTGGCAAAGCCAGGTCTTCTGACCCCACTCTGGGATTTTTCCCATGCTATAATGATGTGACCTAAAGAGCCAAGGCTCATGGACTTATGCGTTAAAGGGACCTTAAACAGCACTGAGTCCAATGTGCCTCCCCCCAACTCCAGGTCCCCTGACGCATCATGCATCAGCAGGTCTCCACTGTAAACTTTCTCTCCTGACAGCTTAGCCTGGTCACCATATAAAAGAAGTTTATGCTACTTCTCTGGATAGATATGCATACACAACCTAGCAAAGTTGACTCTCAAGTGGTTTTCTAGAAAAGAAAACACTTTTCCCATTGACTTCCATTATACAGGTAGAGGTGCCTTGTGGGGGGTGGATGGTAGGGGAGACAGGATATGACTCCCCCAGCAGACTAAGCTGGAAAGTTTAGCTAATGGAACTGCTTTGTAGTGGTTTCAAAATTCTTAGCACTTTCCTGAATCCTAGATCATACCCTTTCTCATCAATGCTTTTGCTGTCTTTTTTTCTTCCCTAATCCTCCTGTTACCAACCCCACTTTGCCCCACCTATCCCCTAGGATTATTGAAGTATTTTCTGTTCCCAGAAACTCATAACCTTCATCTTCATCACTTCTGGTATTTGGTTCTCCTCCTAATAGAGCTAGCTTCTGTTTTCTTAGGTGGGGCCACCATCTGACACGTGGTACTGTAACTAACTCCAGGCTGAGAATTCCTTAACAGTGAGCCTCTAGGCTCTGTAAAATGAACTCATTTCCTACTTCACAAATTCTGTATGCTCAGAGTTCTGTTACTTGAGTTAGCGGCTTTGCTCCGGAAAGTGATGAGATTGCTATAAAGGGATGAGGCCACTGGAAGGTCTGCTGAGTTGGCTGAATCAGCCGACTAAGTAAATAGGGAACTGCTGTTTGAGGAAAGCAGCACTGTTTGGTGGATGGAGCCCTTCCTCCTCTTCTTCTAAGTTGTTGTTAGAAAAAAGAAAGGGAACCTGAAAAGATTCCCAAGGTTAGAGGACACTCCTTAGCTTTTCCCCAAGGCAGACATAAATCCCTGACCCTGAGTTTAAATCCTGGCTGGTCCATTTACTAGCTGTGTGACTTTGGTCAAGTAATTAGACCTCTCTGAGCCTCAATTTCCTCCTCTGTAAAATATCAGGTCTGAATGTGATGCCTTCTAAGGCTCCTTCTAGCTCAAAATCTATAATCCTATGATTCCTTCAGTGCAAATCCAAGTGATGGATAATAGGAAGAAAAGGGGGAGGGAGGGAGGGGGAAGGGGAGGAAGGGAGAGAGGGAGAGAGAGAGAAAGAGAGCATGAATATTTATTAATTGCCTACTACATACCAGGCACATACTAAGTGCTTTACAAATTGTATCTCATTTAATCCACACAGTAGCTTTCCCCCTATTTTACAGCTACCTCAAACGCAACACACATGGAGAATGCAATAAAGGACACTTTCAAAAATCTGATTTTCAATAAATGCACCTGCTTTTTTTTTAACTTTAAAAATCTGTTTATTTTGAAAAACATTATCTCTCTTTCCTATGGCCCCTGTCCCCCCGACCATCGAATAATGAAATAAATCAATAAAACCCTTATAATGAATATACTCATTCCAGCAGAACAAATTCCTGCATTGGACATATCCCCAAAATGTGTCCTTCATTCTTCATTTTAAGTCCATCACCTCCCTGGCAGAGAAAGGGTGGCATGTTTCTTCTTTAATTCTCAGACTCAAGGCTTATCATTGCGTGGCTCAGTTTTTCTCAAGTCTTTCAAAGTAGGGTTTTTTTTTGGGGGGGTAATGTTGTCATAACCTCACTCTGAGTCAGTATGTCCTAGAGGTCTTCCCAGTTTGCTCAGAAATTGTCCATTTCGTCATTTTTTTTATGGTGCAACAGTAGCTCATTACATTTACATACCACATTTTTTTTAGCCATTTCCCAATAGGTGGGCACCCTCATAGTTTCCACTTTTTGGCTCCTACAAAAAAGAGCTACTATAAATATTTCTGTACACGTGGGTTTTTTTCCTGCTTTCTTTGATCTCTTTGAGGCATAGGCCTCATAGTGGTATCTCTGGGTCGAAGTCACAAAGACTTTTGGGGTATAGCTCTAAATTGCTTTCCAAAATGGCTAAACTTGTTGCAGCTCTACCAACATTGTCCCAGCACAGTACCCGGTTTCCCACAGCCCCTCCAACATTTATCATTTTCCTCTTTTGTCATCTTTGCCAATCTGATTGATGTGGGGTGGAACCTCAGAGTTGCTTTAATTTTCATTTCTCAAATGATTAGAGAAGGAATGTGCCTATTTTTAATTCCAGAAAATTCCACTCTCTGTGGTCTGCACACAGGCGTTTATGTTGTGGCAAGTGACCGTTTTATATATCACAGCAAAGATTCAAACTCTCCAATGTAGAATAACCCAGGGGAGTGCAATGTCAGAACCAGCCCAGAGGCACAGAAATGCACTTGCCTTGGCCCCACTGGTCAGGAACAAATGCTCCTAGCAGCCCCTGCCCTAACTCAGACTATCCATACAAGGAATGTTCAGAGATGAGCCCCTTCCTTTCTGTTTTTCCATGACCATCTCCTTTCTTTTTGTAAGAGCTTTGGAAGGTGAGGAGGCCTCTTTGACACCCATGCAACTGCCTGGGAATTCACAAGGAATTCACAAGTCAGCATCACATTATTCCCATGTCCCAGTGGCCAGACCATTCATTTTAATCCATTTTTAATAAAGCAGAAGCCCATAGAGTTAGATAACTTGGGAAACCTCTTGGATTGTATCATGGTGAAACTGGATGTATTCAAATCTTAAAAGCTATAGTCAAGAGGACATTTTAAGGTTAAAAACAAGCCAGGAAAGACAGCCGTCTCATTCCCATTGCCTCTTAGTCTTATCACAGGCATTACTAATTATAATATAGATAGGTAGAAACTTCCTAATCTTTTTTGATGTGCTCCCTTTTTCCTGTTCCCAGTTCCTTGGCTCTCTCTTCTGGTGACTGGTTTCAGGAGAGGATTCATTCCTGACTATCCCTTTCCTGAGATCCCCCAGTTTGTCAACACCCCTCCTTGCTGCAATGAGGTAGCCAGAAGTGGATTATGATGCTCCAGGTTCAGTCCGGCTGGAGCAGAAGGCAGTGACATTATCACTTCCCTCTTTCTGGAGCCTGTGCTTCTGGGAAGGCAGCCCAAGACTGCATCACAAGAGACGTGGCATCCAGAATCAAGGATGTGATGGCCCCATTGTCCTCCGCCCAGGTCAGATCACAGCTATAGTCCTAAGGCAAGCCCCATTTTACATGCCCAGACTGTCAGGTGAAGAAAATAGAGGGTGTTTAGCCAGGAGAAAAGAGGCTGAAATGGACAAAAGATGCCTATCCTTAAGTGTTTAAAGGTAGGCCACATGAAAGAGGAATTGGAATAATTCTTCTCAGGCCCCTCCAGGGCAGAATTAGGAACAATGGGTGTAAGTTACATTGTAGCCAGTTTAGAATTGACACAGGAAAAACCTCCAAACAAGTAGAGTTGTCTAAGGGTAGCCTGGGCTGCCTGAGAAGGTAGTGAACTCCCTGTCACTGGAAGTCTTCAAATGGAAGGTGGATGACCACTTACTGGGAGTGTCCTAGAGAGGATTCTTGTTCACAGGTGGACAAGATGAACTCATTCTTGGATTCTTTTCAACTCCATATTCAGTGTTTTTGTGGCTGAGTTCCTGATGTAAAACCCAGGTATCCTGTCCTAGAGTGTTTTTCTTTCTTTTCCTTTCCTTTTTTTCCTTTCTTTTTCCTTTTCTCCTTCCCTTCCTCTTCTCTTCTCCCCCCATTCCTCCTCCACCTCACCATCTTCTCCTCCTCCACCTCCTCTCCTGTCTCTCCTCCTCCCCTCTTCTTTTTTTTTTAAATAATTTTTAGTTTTCAACATTCACTTCCATAAGACTTTGAGTTTCGAATTTTCTCCCCCACCCTCTCCTCCCCCCTTCCCCAAGATGGCATGTAATCTGTATGGGCTGTACTTATACATTCATATTAAGCATATTTTCACATTAGTCATGATGTAAAGAATTAGAACTAATGGGCTCCTCCCCTCTTCTCTTCCTCTTTTCCTCCCTCTCCCCTTCCTCCTTCTTGTCCTCCTCCTCTTTCTCTTCCTCCTCCTCCTTGAGAGAATGTCCCCATCGTGCCCTAGAGCAACAGCCACAGCCAGGCCCCAACCCCACTGCTGATTGGCGTGGGAGCTTTCACCTGCTCCCTTTCTGACCTGAACTGTTTTACTTCTCCTTCGTCTAACTCACAATATGGGGCTCACCACACTGGTGTCAGACTTAGTACAGACCCCCCCCCTCCCCAATCAGCTTTAGTCCTACTGAAGTTTGGAACTCCCAAACTGAAGTGATCCACCAGCCTGAGCCTCCTCTAGTAGGAGAGATTATAGGCATGTACCACCACCCCTGTCCCTTCGAGTTTCCAGATAGATCTGTAGGGACAGATAGATTTCTTATCCTATAATGGACTGGAATAGAAGTAGGACTCATATAAGTTGTCCAGATGGAGAACAGTAGGGATAAGATCCGGAACACTCAGAGCTTCCTCTACCCTTCTTGCTGTACCCTTCTGCATCTGATCCTGACTCTGAAGAGGCCTCTTAGAATCTCTGTGAGTGAGTCTGAGTAGAGCAAGATTCCAGATCCCAGGACCAATGATTTCTTCTTCATTCAAAGCAGTGCCTCTCAAAGCCTGTTAGAATAGGCACAGGTATCATCAGTCAAGTCATGGATCTCAGCTGTTGAAAGAAACCTGATCCAACCCCAACCTGAGCAGTGATGGCCCCCTTCTACACCACTCCTAATGACTGATTCTCATCTGTCTTCTACTTCCAGAGACCTCACTGCCTCCTGATGTAGCCCATGACACTGTCACACAACTCTACTGTTAGAAAGGCAAGGTTTTCCCCCTTATAAGAAATAGAAATCTGCCCTCTTGGTATCAAACAGAACAAGCCCAATCTTTTATCCATTCAACAGTGTCACTCTCTCAGCCTTCTCTTCTCTAGGCTATCTATCCCCAGTTGCTTTGCCCAATACTTATCATGGCATGGTATCCCTAGTCTCCTCACCATCCTGGCTGTCTTCCTCTGGACAGCCTCCAGCTCATCGGTGTTCTTCCTATAATGTATCGTCCAGAGCTGAATAGGGCACTTGAGATATCGCCTGACCAGGCCAGAAGAAGCGGATCGAGCACTTCTCTCATTCTAGATGCAAGGGCCGCCTAAGGCCATGTTGGCTTTTTCAGCTGCCATGCCCCACTAAGGACTCTCAGGAGCTTATCGTCCACCCAGACCTACTGATCTCTTTCCTGGGTGCTCCTCCCTAGTCCCACTGGGCAATTCTGCCATCTTAGTCTTCTGCAGTTGAGTTTTTGAACTCATGTTCCATATTTAATGACTTTTTTTCAGGTTCAGCCCATCACTCACTATCAGGCTCTTTTTTAGGTCCCAATTCTGCTATTCACTTTATTAGCCACTCCCAGCTTTGCACCATCTCCAGAACTGAGAAGCATGCCATCGATATGCTTTCATTTAAGTCATTGACAAAGACATTAAACTAAACAAGGCTAGGAATAGGACCCTAGAGCACTGCTCTGTTTTGCTCCTTCAAGGCTGGCAGAGATCCATTAACCTCCACTCCATGGTTTCGGTTATGTAACTAGTTACAAATCCACTGGATGCTATTCTCATCTATCCCACATCTCCCCATCTGCTCCACAACAGCATAATAGGAATTATAATGATGATGATGATGATGATGATGATGATGATGATGATGATAAGTGACATGCCTTGCTAAAATCCAGGTACAGCACTCTTCTGATATACCATTCTTAAAACTCAGTTAAAAAGAGAAATAAGGTGAATCTAGCACGCCCATCTCTTGATGAACCCGTAGTGATCCTCACCTCCCTTTCTAAGTGTTTATAAACCAAACATCCAATCCAATCAGCATTTATGAAATTCTTGTCATATATAAAGTGCAGTGCTATACTCCAGGGTTACAAAGACAAAATTTTAAAAAGCAGTGCCTGTCCTCAAGGGGCTTATATTCTTCTGGAATATAAATCAGCTCTTTTAACATATTTATAAATACGTTTGCTATACTAATAATTCATCAGTGTATCAGATGAGTCGTGTGAAGACCACATGCCTTGACTTTGTCCTGACTACAGAGGCTGGCCTTTGCCTGATTATAACTGTGTTCTTTAGCCCTAGCTTTCCAAAAGTCTACTCAATGGAACTTTCCTAATAAATGGCTCTTGTGGTACTCCTCACCCTTATCTTGATCTTAGCCCTATGAAAGCTCACATTAGCCAGCTTTACTAGACCAAATGGAAACCAAGAATCAATCTAGCTAACCTCACCTGTCAGACACATACTCTGTAGATGCTGAATTATACCCACCTAGACCATAAGGGTTGGCATTGCATTTGCACATCATTCAAGGTGCTAGGGCAGGGATCCTTAGCCTGGGGTCCATGAACTTTTTTTTAAAGAATATTTTGATAACTGTGTTTCATTATAACTGATTTCCTTTGTAATACTATGGGTTTTATTTTATATGTTTAAAAACTCAGTTCTGAAAAGGGCTTGTCTTCACTAAACTGCCATAAAGGATCCATGACACAAAAAAGTTAAGACACCTACTCTAAGGATATAATAGAACAAGGGCTTTGGAGTCTAAAGACCTGTCTGCAATTAAGTCCCAGATCTGCCACTTCCCATCCATCTGACTGAGAGCAAGTCATTTTACTTCTCTGAGCATCAGTTTCTTCATCTGTCAAATGAAGATAGTGGTCCTTTTATTAACTGCCTTGTAGAGCTGTTGTATGAAAAGTTCTTTATAAACCAGGCTGTTACTAATATTGGTGATAAACATAATAATATTTGGTAATTAAGATTGATGATAATAATAATTATATTAAGTCCTCTTACACTTCAGTTCTTGAAAGTTAAGCCAGTGAAACATAACCTTTGACAGGTCCTTCTGAGCTACAGCAGCTTTCAGTATGGCGGCCAACAGATTATGCACCTTCTGTTTAAGGTGCTGCTTAAATCTGAAGAAATTCATCCCTAACCCAGTCAAATCCAATAAGCATTGTCTTGCACGTGGTGCTATATGCAAGACACTACACTAGGAATGGAAATACAAAGACAAGTGAAAAATAGTCCCTGCCCTCAGCGAGCTTACATTCTACTGGAGTATTAATCGTCAGATGACCAATTTTCTTTGGCATCCTTCCCCCGAGAAGACCATATGGAAAGCATGGAGGGGCTTTGATCTGCATCAGTGCAGGGAAAACCCACACTGTTGAAACCACAGACCTGGATTCACTCAGAAAATAGCTCCTTGAGGGCAGGGCCTCTGTCATTTTCATTTCCCTCCTACTCAGAACAGTGCTCACCACACAGTGAGCACTTACTAGGTGCTTTTTCATTCATTCATCGGATCGTGAAGTCCATATTATTTTTATTACCCACTTTGTCACCTCAAGAATCTGTGATTTTATTGGTGTGGGCTCCCCCTCCACTTGTTGCAGGTTTGAGACAGTCTTTGAGTGATGCTATAGCTGAAAAATTCTCCCCTCTTAACCCCTGGTGATGAACACTGCTACCCTCAGCTAAGCTGGTCCTTGGATAATAGACACACGTTCCATCTCGAGACCCTCATCTGAACTTGTCCATCTTGGCAGGATAGCCTTTCAAGCTCTGTGCTGGTAGGGTCATCTTTCAGTCAATCAGTCATTTATTAAGCACCTACTCTGTGCCAGGCACTGTGCTGAGTGCTAGATAGCGAGCATTTAGATGCCCCTTTAAGGGTTTGTTTGCCAAGCGCTTTATGATATCTCATTTTATCCTCATAACGATTCTGCCCATCTTTTGTGTCCTTAGCACTTGGAACGGTGGTATTTTCATTATCCCCATTTTAAAGATGAGGCAGAGAGGTTAAGTCATTCCCCCAGAATGTCAGCTACTAAGTGTGTGAGGCCAGATTTTAACTCAGCTCTTTCTGACTCTATTTGTACAACACTTAAAAGTTATCAAGGAATTGTATATCTTTTATCACATTTGATCCTCACAACAACCATGTGAGGTTAAATCGGATAAGTATTATTATCCCCATTTGACAGATGAGGCAGGTACAGGTTGAGTGACTTGCCTAGGGTCCTATGGCTAGTAGGTACCTGAGTGGCATTTGAACTCTTGTCTTCCTGACTCCAGACCCAGTGCTCTATCCAGTGTTACACCTGGTGTTTACTCCTTTCCCCACACTGAGACCAGTCTACATCCGGGGCAAGCTGAGCTTCTCGCAGCTTCCATAGAATAGAGATATCAAAACTTCCTCCCTCGATATTCTGCCCAATTCTGAGTGCTCTTTCAAAGCTACTAGTCTGGTTTGTTGCTGTGATTCAGTCTTTTCAGTCGTGTCTGACTCTCCGTGACTCTTTGGGGTTTTCTTGGCAAAGATACTGCAGTGGTTTGCCATTTCCTTCTCTAGTACATTTTACAGATGAGGAAACTGAGGCAAACAGGGTGAAATGACTTGCCCAGGGTCACACAGCCCAGTAAGTGTCTGAGGTCAGATTTGAACTCAAGGAGAGTCTTCCTGACTGTCTATGCAGTATGGCGCCACCTAGCTGCCCATTGCTGGTTACTCTGGTTACCCGTATTGTAATAGCTTCACATCTCCCCCCCACACCCCCCAATACTCTCTAGTTGTTTGTAATGGTGGGCTTTCAGACAAGCCTTTGAGTCAATTCTCCCCCCGTCACTGACTTACCTGAGGCTCTACAAACTCAGGTCCAGCCTCTGGGGACCTTTAATCTGCTCCAACAGATGCAAACCAGAGGGCCCCCACACTAGAATCCTGCTGGCTACCCTGGTGAAGTATTAGATGAAGATGTCAATAGATTTATGATAGGTGGCCCAATGAGTAGTATTCTGAACTTGGCATCAAGAAGAAATGAGTTCAAATCCCACCTCAGGGTTCCTCCTCCTAGAATTAAATACAATGTCCATGGGAGGAGTGGGCTTAGACAGTGGTTGTGACCATGTTCCCAAGGCAACTCACAGCCCCAGAACTACAGGGCCTTCATGTCCTTTCTCTCCTCCTGGAAGCCTCACGAACCTCCCCTGCTTGCATAGCATCTCCCCTGAGCTTCTGGGGTCTGCTCTTCAGCACAGGTCAGACATTTAACCCGGAGAAGAGAAGATTGGGAGAGAGGCATAACAGCCGTCTGCGAGTATTGGACGGGCAGCCATGTAGAAGAGCTCTTAGCATTTTTCTACTTGGCCCTAGCTGTGTGACCCTGGAAAAGTCAACTTAAGCTCACTCAACCTCAGTTTCCTTATCTGTAAAGTGGAGACAATAATAGCATCTACCTCCCAGGGTTGTTGTGAGGATCAAATGAGACATTATATTAAAGCACTTTGTAAACATTTAAGTGCTGTGATAGCCATGATGATAATGATGATGATGATGAAGGATTCTCAGCATGTTTTCTAACGCCACCAACAGGACATAACGTGTTCCAAGAGCTAATCTGGCGGACTTTCTAATTCTCACTAGGCCACCTGTCTTTCTCAGAGTTGCCAAGTGTAACCGGTCTACGGTCCTTGGCTTCCTTTGCTTTCCATGATTTTTGCATCTCTGATTAAATAAGCGAGTGGTGTCTGCTCCTGGAAATGTAATCCTTTTTGTTATTTCTCTGGTGAAACAGGCTCATCTCCCTTCAATGGTCTCCAGTGAGGGTCGGAAAGACCTAGCTCGAGCCAAGAAGGAAGAAGAGAAGAGAGGAAAGTCTGAGGAGGATACCCCTGCCTCCAAAAGGGGGGAGCCAGCCAGGATCAAAATCTTCGAAGGAGGGTAAGAATCAAATTTTGTCCTGAGGCTCTGCCTGTTGAAGGAAAATAGCCGCTGTCTTTGTTGTTGATGGGGGGTGGGGAGGAGGAGCTCAGGCCTGAGTCTGGCTAAGAAGGCTCCTTGTGGAACTGGTATTCAGAGGTGCCTTTCCAAACGACACCAGCACTTGGCCGCTGCTGCCGCCACCGTGTGCTTCCTGGGCTTTATGTGTTAGCTTTCAACAGATCTCAGGAGAGCTTCCTGTCAGGCTGAGTTAGGAGAAGAGCTAGTGGGGTGCCCATGGCCATGGCCATGGGGGTCCTTGCAGGAAAGATGAGCTGCCTTGTTTATGCCCAGTACTGCTCCCGGGTTTCACCATCACACGTGAATTGGGGGAAGGGGGGTGCCAGCCTTCTGGATGGTTTGAGGTAAAAGGGGTAGGCTGGCTCTGAGCGGCCATATCCATGAAAGTGGCTCCTCTAGCCAAAGAGTAATAACCCTCTGGCTTCCCCACTGGCAACTTTTGTATACCTTCAGAAGAGATTTCCAATACCCCAGTTCTGTTTGGGGGATGCTGTCTACTCTTCCATGGGATTGTCTAATATTTGTGACTTTGTAAATGTGACAGTCCAAATGTCTCAAAATGCAGGTCTCTGGGAAACCCATCTCCTTCATTTCTCTTCCAAAGCTTGGGAGGGCATGTCTCCCCAGAAGGGATTCGATGACGTTTTTTCTTAGCCAAGTCCCACATACATGGTTGTGAGTATGTGTTTATGACTTAAGGCAGAGAATCCCAACCTAGGGTATGGTTACAAAGAGTATTTGGTCAATAATTCTATTATCCTTTTGAAATGAATTGTTCATTTTATTTCTTGTGTGCCTATAATATTGAATAGGGAATATGGGAAGGTTTGTTGAAAGGCAGAGGGTACAGGGACCTCTGATTCTGGGTGTCCCTGAGTTGGCCCCTGTTGGGACACATAGTACCTGGTACCCGTATGCATAAGCTAGCCCAGGTCGAGATCAAAGGACTGACCCTACAGTGACAGACTCATCTCAGTGAACTCTAACTGGTTTGCTTTATTAGTATTTACCAAGTGCAAATTCTAGACCCCAGGAGGGAGGGATACAGCTCATAATGAAGCACTGTGCACTTGTTGTAATCATTATGATAGAACAAAGAGGAGTGAGGGGGAAAGGTACAGGAGCCAAAGGTCACTCATGTCATTGTTAGAAGGTTGCAAACACCTCTTTCTGAGAATGTTCATCTTACTTCTTTGGGCCTGATCCCCTTGTTCTCCACTGTTGTTGGGCAGAGTGCCCTTGGGAGTCTTGGCAGAATGACAGCATTTTCAAAGGATACAGCATGACTCTTTAGCGCAGCATGGCTATGTCGTAGCCGTCTCTTTTTCTCCACATTTGTTTGAAGAGCTGCATGGGAGGTGCTCAGAATTGCTCCAAGTGGCTCTGAGGTCCCTCCCCTGGGCTTCTGAGGATATCCCGAGTGGCAGTTAGGGTGGCATGAGGTCCCAACAGGCCTGTATTCCAAAGGGTGTGTTGGAGCAGCTTCCCGACCGTCATGTCTCAGCATCTTTAAATTGACACAAGGCAACAGGGCTGTCTGTTGGTAGATGCGGGGCTACCAAGGGAGATCCTGGCCTGAAGTTCTATATCCTTGTGGATATGAATTGAGATGTCTCTGTTTCTGCCTAGACAACTCACCCGTCCAGCTGTTATTGTCTTCATTCTACCATCTTTCCACAACACACAGAGCCTGAGTCAGGAGAGAACCCCTGACCTCCTTCTCCAAACTCCTTCCACAAATCCTGTGATCCTGAGCTTCCGTAATTCTCTCTGACTTCCCTTTCTCCCTAGTCTTTGCTAGTTCCTCCATTCCTGCCATAGATTACCTTTAAGACCCCCTGCTTTTTTTCTAGCCACTCTCCCAGAATCCAGTTCCCCTGGTTTCACCTCTGCTTCTACAGATTCTGCTGTCACCTTCAATGGACCTCTTTCCCAGTCTCCATCTTCATCTCTGATTACTCCCTTGCTTTCTGGTTCTGCCACCCCAGATGGCTACAGGGCACCTCATTGCAGATGTCCATTCCTGGAAACTTAACCCACCAGGGCTGAGCTTGTCATCTAGAGGAAGCAACACACAGCAATAGAAAGTGTGTTCAGCCTGGAGTCAGGTAACCTGGGTTCTAATCTCAGCTCTGCCATTTTCTGATTGTGTGGCTTGGATCAAGTCATTTGATCTCTTTAGCCTCAGTTTCCTCCTTATAAAGTAAAGCTAACGATATTTGTTCCTCAGGGGAATACTGTGAAGAAAGTGCTTTGTCAACCTTAGAATATGATAGAAATGTGAGATGTTATTTTCTCCTTCCAAATGGCCTCGGGGTCCCTTCCAGCCTGAAACCTTGTGGTCCTGACTCCATGTTATCATCAGTAGCCCTAACCTTTTCCCCTTGATCTAGACTTTCAGCCTTGGAATCTCTTCTGATTCCTTTCCCTGTTGTCTCTTTACTCCTCTTTGTCATTAATCCCTGGGTTCTGCCAAGTCTTTCTCAGATTCTGTCCTCCTGTTCTGTATCTACACTCACTCCCCAGGCCATTCACTTCTTACTTATTTCCCAGGGTCTTCTCTCACCAGCCCATTCTAGACACTGTTGGGCTTATTCTCCTCAAACAATTTTCTGCATCTCATTTCTCTGTAGTCAAAAATTTGCCATGGGTGGGATTTTTTTGTTCCTCAGAAGAAAAGAAAACAAACTGAAGTCCTCAGCCTTATTTTCAACCCTAAATTCTAATTGGGTGACCTCCAACCTTATTTCTAGTAGGACATGCCCAGTCAAGCTGCATCCTCTTGCATCTTCAGTACTGAAGCTGCTCTCTGCTAATTGTTCACCCTCCCTTCTAAACCTGGCACAGAGCAGTGCCCCTTGTCTAGGACTGACCCACTTGAAATGATTCCCTTCACTTTGGCCTCCTTTCACACTTTCTCTGCCTAGATCATATGATTAATTTATACTTCTTGGCATAATGCTTTTTGCAAAGGGGTTCTTTGGTTTAGGAGAGCAAGTCTCTCAGTCAGCCAATGAGCATTTATTAAACACTAACTGTGTGCCAGGCACTATGCTAAGTACTGGGCACATAAATGTAACCAGAAAGAAAAACAGTCTCGTCCCTCTGGGAGCTTACATTCTAATGGGAGAACACAATACATAAAACGGGAGCTGAAAAGTGTTGGGAGTGAGGGAAAAGGATATTAAGTACCTACATGGGCTCATGGTAGCTAAGTCCAGAGAAGGAGGGATGGTAGGTCTGGGGCCCTTCCCAAAATGGAACTTCCAAAAGAACTCAGCAATGGGAAAAGGAGCCCAGATAGGGGGAACAAGTCTGTTTATATATTCTGTTGGCCATTATATATTACTGTCTGTCCTTGAGGGAAAGAATGGTCCAAGCCTCCTGTTTCTTTTTGTCTTCCCATAGGGCCTGTGTCAGGCTAAACACTAGGCACTTTGAGGCAGCTAGGCAATGCAATGGATAGAGTGCTGGCTCTGGAGTTAGGAAGACCTGAGTTCAAATCTGGCCTCAGAAGCTTACTAGCTGTATAACCTTGGATAAGTCACTTAACCTCTCTACCTTAGTTTCCTCAACTGTAAAATAGGGATGATAACAGCACCTACCTCTCAGAGTTGTTGTAGGGATCAAATAGGAAAACATTGATAAAGCACTCAGCATAGTGCCTGGCATATAGGAGATATTGTATAACTGGTAGCTGTTCTTATTATTACTCGGTAAATGTTGTTGCCCAATGTCTATTTGGTTGAGAGAGATAGTTCATGTTGGTTCTAGCAGGTAGTGACCTATTGTAGCCAGTGATTGTTATAAGCTTTTGAAACCCTTCTTGTAAGGTATGGGAGAAGGCATCCCGTGATAGATACAAAATGCTATTCAACAAACCAAGTAATGACCCATTGGCCCACCTCCCATGCGCCACTCCCACACTCTGTATGTCAGCAGAGGGCTCATGAGTCAATGTCTGTGATAATGTAGCTCCCAAACTCCTGGCATAATCTTAGCCTACATTAACGCAGAGCTTCCTGAAATAAAGAAGTGGTAGTATCACTTCCCTCTGTCCTGCTCACACCTCACCCAGAGGATTGTGCACCATGTTTTTAGGAAGGACACTGTTAAGCCGGAAAGTATTCAGAGGACAGAACCAAAAAGACCAACGACCTTGAGTCCCTTGAGTATGAGAATTGGTTAAGGAACTAGGGAGTTTTAGCCTGAAGAAGAGTAAACTCAGAGGAAATCTGATAGCTGGGTAGGTGTCTTAAACTTCTCAAAGGGCTGTCAGATGGAAAAGAGATTCAGTTTGTGCTGTTTGGCCCCAGGCAGGGAGGTAGATCCAGGGCAGTGGAGGTTACAAATAGTCCAATTTAGACTTGATATGAAGAAAAACTTCCTGACAGTGAGAACTGGATCTAAGTGGAAGGGCTGCCTTGTTAGGTGGGGAATTTCCTGTCATTGGAGGTCTTCAAACAGAAGCCAGATAACCTTTTGCCAGGCATTTTATGGAAGAGATTCTCATTTAGGTACAGACTACACTAGATGCTTCCAACTCTAAAAATTCTGTAATTCTCTGCTATCCAGTCTGTAAAGGAGCAACGTGGCCTTGACTAAATACTGCTCTTGGCTCAGTCGATTGCTCATTCCACAGCATCTCAGAAAAGGGAATGAGTTTGGTGTCCCTAAGTATTTAAAAGACTTTTGTGCAAAAGATCAATTAGGCTTGTTCCTTGGCCCCAAAGGATGGGAGGCAAAATGTAGGAGTCATGAGAAGCCAGATAAGGTCTAATAAAAGGGAAAACTTCCTTATAAGCCAAGATACCAAGATATGGAATGGGATACCTTAGGAGGCAGGGGAGTTCCCTCTCACTCTTGTTGGGTGTGCTGTAAAGGGGACTTTTGTTCACCACTTTGGTCCCTTCTAACATCGTGATTCTGTAATTCTGGAT